GACTTGAAGATTTACAAGGTCCCTTCCGACCCTACTTCTATGATTCTATTAATAAAATGTTTAAGACAAGGTGTTCATATATTGCTACCCTTTCCTCTGGAAAAATGTTTTTTAATAACTATGTAACAGGAAGACGTTTATGTAAGGCTATCTACAGTATCAGATCATTACAATTCCTGTACACCAAGGACAAGCAGTACAGTACAACTCTCAAATGCAAGAGCAAGATGCGTTTCTGCCCCCATGGGGCACTGGCATTTTCACAAGAGAAGCAACAAGGATTCAGTGCCTTCTTTGCTTGTGGACTTTTCCTCTACTGTTGACTTTTGATCTAGAGGTTGGTGGATCTACTTCTGTCCTCCTGACTAGGCCTCAAAGGACTGGGAGTGGACACTGGCAGCAGACACTGGCAGCAGCATCCGTTTGTTCCTGTAGAGATTAGAAACAAGGAGCTTACTGCTCTGCTTGCTCAAAAGCCTCAGGAGAGCAGACAGAGCAAGTCTAAAGCTTCTGGAGTTGGAAGGAACCTGCTTCCTCCCAGCCCTGTGACCTCAAGATCCACAGAAGTACAGAAGCAGCACAAAGGAGCTGAAAGAAAGTATATTCCTTTATTGAGAGGTAAGAATTTAAATTTATCTGAATTCAGTATGTTAAATTATATTTAGGCTGTCTTAGTAATATTTTCATAACCTATGCAATTCATAAATGAATTCCTACTAATCTGATGTTTTGTGACAAATCATTCAACCTTAGCAGTGAGGGGAAGCCTGCAGGGCAGGGAAATTGTTCACAGTTAACTCTGAGGATGTCTTTCCTCCATCCATTACTAAGTTTGTACATGCTGTAGCTTAGTGTACATATATATTCAAGCTAGCCACTAAATTACATTTTTGTTTTTTCTCCCTCAGCAAAATGGCGTGACCAACTTCTAGCATATGGAAGCATTTCCTCACTGCAAGTTATTTTGAGGGAAAGAAAATGTGATTTGCAAATACTGTCAAATGAAATATGAATTTCCAAATGCTACTAGGATGACCAACACATCCTTGTATGTAACAAGTGTCCTGCAGACACTGAAAACCCCTTCATGAGTGTATGTAAGAAGGTAGATCATGATGGAAATGCAAGTAGCTCTTTCCAACTTTCTCGATCCAGAAGTCCTCCTGCTGCTGCTGCTTCTGTTACATCAGCAACACAAAGGGTTGCCCAATCACCATCCTCAGGTAACCAAATATTGCAACCAACTGTACACAGAAGACTCTCAATAGCTTAATTTGTAGACAAGATGACACCTGAAGATCAGGAAAAAATTGATGAAGCTCTTGCAAGAGCAGTGTATTCTTCTGGGACACCACTGTCAGTAACTGAAAACGCATACTGGCAGGAAGCTTTTAAACTACTAAGACCATCATACCATTTGCCCAGCAGACATTCTTTGAGCAAGTCTCTTTAAAAAAAAAAAAAAAAGTGTCAGAATATGAAAGTGTAACGCAATTTGTGCAAGGGGGGAAAAAAAAAAAAAAAAAAAATCAACAAAGCACTGCATCTTGCAGTACTTACAGATGGATGGACAAATGTGCAGGAAGAAGGAATCATAAACTTTGTGATAACAATGCCTCAACCAGTTTTTACAGAAGAATTGAAACAAGAGAGAACAGGCATACTGCAGAGTATAACAGTAGTAAAATATGTGAAGTCCTACAAAAGATTGGGAGTGGTAAAGTATTTGCTTTTTTGACTGAAAAGGCAAGTAACATGAAAGCAGCATGGGAGATCATAATGGATAAATATTCACATACTACTACAATGGGATGTGCATCCCATGGGCTAATCTTGCTTCTTAATAACATCATAAAGTTGGACACTGCAAAAGTTCTATAGAAAAGCAAAAGAAATTATGAAACATGTAAAAGCTACTCATATTGTAGCTGCAGTCTTTAAGAAGCAGGAAAAAAGAATGCAAAGAATAAAATTGTGATATTCGAACTCTGCAGTAAAACTAGATGGGGTGGAGTGGTGAGCTCATTTGAAAGTTTACTAAAAAAGAAAGAAGCTCTTCAAGAAACAGTAATGATGGAGGATCTTAAAGTACCCAGAAGTGGAAGGAACATTGTACTTGATGAGGGTGTCTTCTGGATTCAGCTGCAGAACTCCCTGTAGATTCTAAAGCCAATTTCTTCAGTAATCACTGCACCTGAATCAGACAGTGCACTTCTGTCAGACATTCCTTACAAATGGCCCAGATAAAAATCAACTGTTTTTGAGAATTTAAGTGCATCTTCACTTACACGTATAGAAGAAAGAAGAGTGAAGGACTTTAGTAACAGACAGGAAGAATTTTGTTGCCAATCAATTCATGCTGCTGCAAGTCTCTCAGATCCAAAATTCAAAGGCAGAAATGTTAGTGAGGATAGCACTGCTACTGCATTTGACTGGATTACAAAAGCAGCAACACACTTAGGACTTCATGTTGGAAAGGTACTTTCAAATGTTACACAATACAGAACATCTTCAGGTATCTGCAGCATGGTGGCAAGTTCTTTGCCTGGCACAGCCTCTAACTCCTCTTGCTTCTTGCCTGCTTCAGATTCCTCCATCTTCTGCAGCATGTGAAAAAAAAACTGGTCTATGTTTGGAAATACTCGCACCAAATCAAGAAATAAATTAACATATGAAAGAGTAGAGAAGCTTGTCTCAATTCGGGCAAGCCTTCAATTTTCAGAAGTCCATGAAGATGATAAAAATGAAGGATCAGAAGAATCAGAAACTGCTGATAGTGACAGCTCAGAAAATGAGACCAATTAGACAAAGTTTCATAGCAAAATTTGGATTCAATGACTTGGGGTTCCCCCCCCCAGCTCTTTTTCTAAAAATGAATGCTTTCTGTATCTGCTTGACACTGTGGAGGAGACTAAGTCCAGATTACATAATAACTTTCTTTGTTTTACTATAATGTTGCTGGTTTCTTCTTTTTTCAGCTTTAATTTTTGCCTACTCATAAACTGGCAAAAACTAAGAGATGCTAGGTTGCTTAGAGTTCAGCAGTTTGTAGCTCCATTTGGAACAAAAATGAAAAACATTTTAAAGTAAACTCAAATAGTAAATTTGTAATTAGTGTCTGAATAAACTACACTTTTAAATTTAATAAGTATACTAAACAATTTTATGAGCAAATCAAGTTATACATAATATATTTTATTTTCTTAAAGTAGTAAAGTGAATTCAGATTTGTAAAGGGTGCTAATAAAACAAGCATTGCATATTTAAATTTTTCCCAAAATTTCAGTTTTTTCCCCATGGCTTCAAAATTTCTGGAAATTTTACATCTCTATGCTCTCCTGCCACTCGCCCAGCCAGGGCAGGATTGAGCCACTGTGCTGCCTCCGGACAAGCAGCACACAGCAGCAGGAGGTGCCCCAGCCTCCCAGGTGAACATCAGCTTCATCCCACCCTGCCCCTCCTCCGGGGGAGCAGTGGCAGGGCAAGGCCCTTGGAGCAGCAATTGGTGGGGGGTGTACCCCTGGATTGGGCACACGTAATGCTGTGCCACTGCTCACCCAGCCAGGGGCACAGGACAAAGCCGCTGTTCATTCAGGAGGCATGGGGAGGTCAGGGCAGCTCCCGCTGCTGCATGCCACTTGTCTAGAAGCAGGACAGAGGCTCCAGCC